GCCTGTGACACTGGACCCGGCCCCCACTTCTGCAGTCAGGCTCTGCCTGGGGCGGGGGGCGTGGGTCCACGCGAGTGAGGCCGGCCTGGCCATTTCGGGGTCCCCAGCAGCGGTCCATTCTCTGACCTCCAAGAAACTTTCCACTTGGGAAAGGGAAGTGCCAGCTCCCCAAAACAAACCCATCACCCCAACCCTGCAGCTCGGAACCGGGGACAGAGCAACGCAAGGTAGCAGGTGGACGAGCAGGAAAGTTTCAGTACCAAACTCCCAGCAGCGTGGACGTGTCAGATTCAGGACTGAGGACAGACGGGCATGCAGGGATCCTGGCACCTGGTGCCCCACCCCCATGTTGGCAGCCTTTTCTTCTTATTTCTGCTGTTTTCAGGTACAGCCAGCTGCTTCAAGATACACACTTGACGAAAAGAAAATAAGCCTAAATTCTACATAAAAGCTCCGGCATCAAAAGGCAAACTCAGAAACGAGAATCCTCTGATGGCCACCAACCCTCCGGCCCGCAGGATTTCTCCACCTGCCCTTTCTCACCTGTCCTGCCCAGGGAGGGCCTGCCTCGTCTGCCCCCGGGTTCCCAGACAGCGGGACAGTGTGGCAATCCCTGAGAACAGCAAGCGCCCTATAATTTACAAACGAACCCGCACTTAGCGTCCGCCTCAGTACTGCCCAGAGCCAGTGCTCACAGGGGCCCCCAAGACATGGCCCTCCCCCTGCCGGGCCCAGCTGGATGAGACTAACAGAGACTAACAAAGGGCCAGGTCAGGGCCGCGCCACCTTGGAGTGAAAGGCCATTCTGGACCACAGAGAACAGGACCCTGGGTATCCATCCCTCTGTATACAGCCTGGTCTGGGCAAAGTGGGCCCCAAGTATAGCTTGAGATTTTAAATCGAGTTATTCCATTATCAGCTTGAAATGGGTTTACTACTGACACTAAAATTAATATTTTAGTAGTGATATTTAGCATACTTAATATTAACCTCACGTATTAATTTAATATTAAAGTGTCTTGAATACACTTTCCAGAAACAGGTGGTTGCTGTGAAATTTTCAGTTCCAATCATCCTACGCTTGGACAAAAAATGTAGCCTCCAGGGACCAAGGGAAGGGGGTGGAGCGACAACTTAGGATCTTATTTCAAGATTCCAGATTAAAGTTGTATTGCTAAAAATAACCATCAACTAAAAACTGCCCAGAAATCCAGCAGCCGACTTAGAACCTCAGATGAGGCTCCCGCTGAGCTGTTCCTGAGGATGAAAGAAACGCATCCTGTGAATATATTTTCTGCTTGTTTGGGGCTGTGCAGGGTGACTGCCCACCTGGGTAAGGAGTCACAGGGCTTCCCTGGCGGCGCAGTGGTTAGGAATCTGCCTGGCAACGCAGGGGACACGGGTTCGAGCCCTGGGCCGGGAAGATCCCACATGCCGCGGAGCAGCTAAGCCCGTGCACCACAGCCACTGAGCCTGCGCTCTAGAGCCCGCGAGCCACAGCTACTGATTCCCGCATGCCTAGAGCCCGTGCTCTGCATCAAGAGAAGCTACCACAATGAGAAGCCCACACACTGCAACGAAGAGTAGCCCCCGCTCGCCACAACTAGAGAAAGCCCGTGTGCAGCAGCAACGAAGACCCAATGCAGCCATAAATCAATCAATCAATAAATTTATTTATTATTTTTTTTATTAAAAAAAAAAAAAAAGGAGTCACATAAGTGCATTCCCAACCTTTGGGAAAGAGGGGCCTGTGGCCTGGCCACCTCCTCGGAACTGCAGTGTCCCCTCCCTTCCCGTCAGTGGAGACTGCTCCCAGCCACCCCAGGTCCTTATTAACAAGCCACTTGGTCCTTTAAGGAATGTTCACCCACTTCCTAAAACTGCCACGAAGTGCCAGGCCTTCCAAGCCCGGGGTTGACAGGCGGAGGAGGAAGAAAGCCCTCAAAGCAAGGAGCCCCGGGAGCCAACGCAGAAACGACCACAAGGACATCAGCCCCGGGTGCCAGCGAGCGGCCCTCAGTGCCCTACTGGGCGGGCGTTAGGTCCTACTGTGTACCCAGCACCGGGAACCATCCCTGGATGGAGGTCAGCATCGCGGCGTGGACAGGACAGGAGGAGACTACGTACTGGCCACTCCCAGCACCCAGAGCACCAGCCCTCGCCGAGCACGCCCACAGGCCAGGCAAGGAGCCCCCCAGTAACGGGGCCGCCACCCCACCTGCCAGGGATAGAGCGCGCGAGGGCTGTGCTGCCTAGGAGGGCGTCACCGTGGTCCTCCAAGGGTGGGCCTCCTGCCCCAAACATCCCACATGGCTGTTAGGAGAGCGGCCCGGAAGGTGGGAAGGGAGTGAGCTGAGATACAGGCCCAGCTGGGCCAACTGCACGCCGTGACTCTGAAAAGACCGCTCAAAGAGATGGAGCGCAATTGGCAGGATTTCCCTAAGAAAGGCACGTTCTATTACAGTGGCATCTCAGCATCCTTAAAGACGAGTGGAAGGCCTCCCCACACCCTGTACCCTAATCCAACTATGCCTCCTGCTTCCCCTGCCCCTAAACACCCAGAACTTGCCGTGACTTTTCTTGGGTTGCTTCCTCCTCCGAAAGGCCCTTCTGCAGGTGCCCCCACCCCTGACTGGTCCTCTCCGAAGACCAGTCCCATCTAGTGACACCCTCACCCGAGCTGGAGTTCCAGTGACTCCTCTCCCACTGCACCCCCAGGGGCTGTCTGGGAACCTACCGCCCGCTACCCCCTCTGCCCTCGTGCGCCACCGCATGCCACCCGCGATGTCTGTGAGCATCTCACGTACGGCAGTGGGTCGGGTGGGAGACCAAGGGCTCCAGGACCGCAGAACCTGGTTCTAACCTCTGCTCAACCACATACAGCTGGACAACACTGGCCCTCGATTTAACCCCTCTGAGCCTCGGCTTAGCAGGAGCCACCGTCCACTCGGGGCAGCTCCCAGAGACAGGGCCTTTGCGCACAGTGGGGACCCATCCTCACCTCCCCTTGCTTGTGCTCATTCAAGTTTGAGATCAAAGGTTTCACTCTGACTTGGTGCCCACGAACCCCACGCTCGTCGTCACAACTCTGCAATGTTCGTCGGGGACAGAGTCCACATGTGAAGCCAGCACCCCAACCAGAAGGAAACAGGACTGCAGGGATGCTAGAACTCAGGAAGGCTGGGAACCACCCACTTGTTGTCTGTTCCCTAATTCCCCGCTTCACCTTAGCGGGCGGGTACTTCCAGCTTCTGATAAAATCTTATTCTCGAAGGACACCGCCTTAAGGACACCTTGTCGTTAAGTGTACAACGTGGAAACTGATCCCCCCCACCGGCCACAGGCTGGCTCAGCCAGACTGCTGTGCCTGCCACAGAGTCGGGGTGCAGCGGGGTGGCTGTGTGCGTACCCCCCGGGGCCCAGCCCTCCTTCCACGGCACTGAGGAGCCGGAGGGGACCCCGGCCACGGCGTGTGGCCCTTCCTGACCCGCCCTCCTGAGGGACAGGGTGACCTCGGCAGGTGGGCGAGCCTAGAACCCATGTCACTGAGTGGGAAAGCCACGGCTAGTGCCCCCCCACGGTGTGACACGATGGCCCTCCAAGGGAGAGACATCTTCAAAGGAACACAAACCTACCACACTAACAAGGGCCAATTCCAAGGGGACGGCACCCGGTTTTAGTTATATTATCCCTCGTGCTTTTCTGCTTTATAAACTTATCAAAAAAAAAAAGATCAGGGCTTCCCTGGTGGCGCAGTGGTTGAGAGTCCGCCTGCCGATGCAGGGGAC